CTGAGGGTGGTGAAACACTGGCCCAGGTTGCCCAGAGAGGTGGTGGATGCCCCATCCCTGGAAACATTCAAGGTCAGGTTGGACGGGGCTCTGAGCAACCTGATCTAGTTGAAGATGTCCCTGCTCATTGCAAGGGGGTTGGACTAGATGACCTTTAAAGGTCCCTTCCAACCCCAACTATTCTATGATTATAGATACAGCTAGATTTCTCCATCTATTAATTTTTTGGCTTTGTGATTAAGAAATCCTGTAGACACAAATGTCCATTCTGTACAGTTTAACCTTGTAGTAGAAACTAAGTGAGTGCAAGGTTTCAGGGAGGGTTTTTAAAACAATTGGGGTGAGGTAAGTAAGCTATTCAGGAAAGACATGAAAATCTCAGACTCTTGACTTACATTTCTTGAATGCTTTTATTTTGATTTTGTTTTGTAATTTATTTTCTTCTCAGCAAGATTACCATAAATTTGGCTTTAAGTTTCTCAGTAGGTCTCTTACTGTGTAGGTACAACACAGCTAAGAGGGGTTTGCTTTAGAAGACCTTTGCTAGTCTGGTTGTTAAACTAGCAAATTTCCGTGGTGTCAACTCATGTGCAGCAGATGTGTATAAAACTGAGTGCTGGTTTCACAAACTGTTACAGATCATACTGGAATTGCCTGCTTTCCTGAGCTGCCATAGCTCAGGAAAGCAAGTCATAACTCTAAATTGTACAGCCAAGAGGTGCCGTAAATATATGTCTGGCCATTTTGTTCAGTGTATCAGCAGCAAAGCCATTTCCAGGACACCAAACAATCCTACCTAGGCAAGACCATTAAAAATAGTAGGTTTGCAGAAGTGTGTGCAAATGGTCATGTCTTCTGGCAGAGGCAGAATTGTCTTCATGTAACAATACTGAAAGAGACAGGTGACATTTTCAGGCTTATATCCATATATCCCAGCAATATTCTCTTGCTTCACTTCAGGGGAATTGGCTTTCAAACCCATGTTTCCTGCTAACTTCAAAGGCTATGAAACAGCCTTCTCTCAATCCAGCACCAAATACTGTTTTAGATACATAACAATAGATATGCATGATTGCATTGTTGGGTCCACATCTATATTTTTATTGTTGCTCTTCTACTTCATAGGATTCCTGAGCAGAATGGCTGGATAACAGTTCACGTCTGAATTTTATTATTTTGACCCATTTTAAACATACACAGAGCACCTTCTGTCCTAGCAATGGCATGGCTGAAACTAGAGTCACAGTTGCTTTGTGTCTCTGGAGCAGCTCAGAGTGGCTGGAGCATACCAATGAACTTGGCCATCAGTCTGCAAAGATGATTAGGGAGGTTCTTTCAGCATAAACAACAGCCTGCCTGTTATGTGGAGTGAAAAATCTAGCTACTAAAATAGTTTTCGGCCACTGAATTCTGATTAAATAAATTCTTCTTCTTATCTTCTCCTTTCAGGTGTTTCACAATTGCAGCTGTGTGAAAGGACAAGTGCATGGACTTGGCAATTCCTCTGCACTTCTGGGACAATGCCAAAGAGAAAGCTGTACCAAAGCATTTCCCTATTTTTTAGCATTACAGACTGCATGTGCATTTATTTTAGCCTTAGGAGGCACTCCTACATACATGATTATGTTTAGGTGAAATACTTTACCTTACCTTGACCATAAAGCTTGGGGAAAGAGAAACTGAATATGGTATCTACTATTTCATTCCTACTGTGAGGAATGGCATGCTGATGAAATTGGGGCCCTGAGTCTTTGCCTGTACTCTGAAATCCAGCTCTGTTCAGAGGCACAGCAAAATGCCTGTCCGCCAATTTAACTCCAATTTAAGGCTGAGTAGATACTTTGGTGATGAAATGGGTGGGCCTTATGCTGATTCTGAACATTAGTTTTCACTTCCAATGACAGGGAGGTTTTTAACAGAGCAATGAACTTGAAATAAGATGCAGTGCTATGCCATATCCAAGGTGACTATGCTGTTCACATTACTCAGGGGAAAAACATTCACCTTTGTTAAGCCTTGTTGCCTCAGAATGTTTTCTGTGTTGTGAGAAGTCTGATACTCCCATTTTTTGTCAAGCTGATATAAACAGAACTATGTCAGCAGCAGTAATTTTTTTATTTTTATTCCTTCAGTTGTAAACCAGCACTGCTATTTTATACTCGGAAGAAAAGACAATGTTCTGTGCCTTTCGCATGGAAGTTTCTTTCCACTCATGCTCATGGGTGAATTGCAATCCTCGCTAGTTAGTGTGCATGACTAGGTAACTCTCTTTGTTAAGCTGCTGATTCCTCTGCAATATTTCTAAGTGCAGCCATTCTTACCGCATGCCTGGATTATGGACAAGGCTAACTTTGCTAGGCAAAGTTTTCAGAATACTAATGTGTACATTGAGAAGCCTTTCGTGTTAATGCTGAAAAGACAATACACTGATACATAAACTCCAGTTCAGGAAACAGGCTGGCCATAGCAAGTGTCCCTCCTGCCCCTGTGCCAGCTCAGTACTTCCCTCTGCTTTTTGTGAATTCTTCCAGTTCATCTGATGGACACAGGTTGTTTTTCCACTGTTAGGAATGAGGTACTTTTGTAGCCAGGTAACTCACGTTTGCTGCCTCTCTCTAAAATGCTAGAGGCAGAGGTGGGTTTTACCTGCACGTAGCTAGCAAGCACTGCACACCCTTGTTCCCTCTGTTCACCACTGCACAGCACAGCTCCTTCCAAAGCAAGGCAGCTTCTTGGAGCTTAACTTATGGACATGAAGTGCCTACTTTTGGTTGGTTCACTTTAATTTTCCCATGCATCCTCTCCCAAAAGTCTTTACAATCTGTTCTCCTTGGGTTCAAGACCAGTTTCTGTAGATTCTCCCATTTATTTCAATGAGAGTTCATCCACTGAAGTCAATGGAGGGAGGATCTACATCTGAACTTTAACTTTGGTGAATGTTTTCAATTAGGGTTTGAGTGAGCTATGCTAGGTAAGCCACAATACTCTTGCAATGGGGCACGTGCAGATGTTCACAGGATGGCTATAGCTACATTATTCTATTGTTCCCCAAAACAATGTACTATTTTTGTTTCCTTTTTAGATCTGTTTCACCAGACTTGAAATCCTTTGCTGTTGGGATTGAAACTTTAGGTGGTAGAGTACTAGGTAAAACTTCATTTCTTTGTGGGATTCAAGTAGGTGGTCAAAGAGACAGACCAAAGCTAGCCAGTACAATGTCCTTGCTCCAGATAAGAACAGAAGAAATTTTCCAAAATTTTTCTTTGTAAGCAGACTATACATTTCAAAATTTTTGGAGGAGCTTTCTACATGTTTCCTAGTATGTAATTACGTATTATTATTATCTCTTCAGAATTTTTTCTATGCAGCAAAGGAATCGGGCAAAGGAAGGAAACTGCATTGTACTTTTTATTTTATTTTATTTTATTTTATTTTATTTTATTTTATTTGTGGACACAACTGCCTGAGCTTGATCAGTCTGGATATCCTTAACACCTGTGGTCCCTTTTCCTGACCATTTTTCACTTAGAGCTACTATGTACTCTGCTTATTATTTTCTTTCTTGTGTTTATCTGCAATAAATAATCGTTCCAGTCTTCAGGCATGTAGTCTGCCCTGCCTCTTACAAACCTTGTCTTATCTTCCCTTTCTTGCTGATTTTTGAGATCTTCCTCACGCAGACAAGCCCAAGTAGTCGTCATTTGGATCTCTCTCCTAATCTCCATATCTTAGCTGAATGCTGCAGAGAATCAATCTTGTGCTTTTATGAAATAGTTTTCTTCACAAAATTGCACATTATCCCTGAAACAGCTTGCTGATTATATTAAAGCTTTACGACTGTTTAAAAGGAATTCTTTCAGTACTACATAAGTAATACAGTTATTACCTGGTTGGTTTTAAGCAAGTGCTTAATTTCAGCCCTTTGCACTCAGCTAACCATTTTTAATGGCAAATTGTTGTATAAAACCTGAATAGACACATTAGTATACATAAATATTAATATGTCATGGCACGTAATTCCACACTGGGGACTGAAAAAGAAATGTTGGTTATATTACTTCTTTAAAAAACAGAAGTTATAATTCTAACAAAAATGCCATTAAAGTAGAATTACTAACATTTCCCTCACTGAATATAATAATGCTATAATCTTCCATCCTTTCAACTCCTTTTAGGTACTTGCTTAAATATTTTCACAACTCTTAGAATCTCAAAGCTGCAGCTGGATGTTTAGTCGCATTTTATGCAGCCATAATTCAGAAGCCCTGAGATTCATTTCCTCATTTCTTTACCATGACATTAAATGCTGAGATCTTCATGTCTGAGATCATGTAATCAGATTTTCTTTGCAGGAGGACTCCCAGCCCCTATTTATTTTGGTGCCTTGATCGATGAGACCTGCTTGAAATGGGGGACAAAAAACTGTGGGGGATCTGGATCTTGTCGGGTATATGACACAAAAGCATTCAGGTAAGCCAAAATCTTCAGTAAGGGATTGGGAATTTGGCTTCTGAGGCAGCTTTGGGCACCAAGGACCAAGGTATACTTTGCCCATGACAATTGTCAATAGACTGATTAGGATACTAAAAGCACTAAACCCCCTCATTTTGACTAGGCCTTAATAGATCAAATAAGCCAAATAATTTTGATTCAATCTGACGTGTGACATTGCAGTACACTGTCTTACATCACCAGAATTAGTTCCTTTATTGAAGCCTTAGTGCACTGAATAACTCTGTGGCACTTTGGCCTTGTGGGAGACTGAACAACCATGGAGTAAGTGTAGTACTGAAGACACTCTTCCTCATCCCTCCTTTCTCTGCTTCCTAATGTGTAAGACAGCTCACAAAATCCACTTGGAGAGGGGACCCAAGTGACTGCTGGTGCATGGAGAGCTGTGGCCAGGAGCACTGAGTGCTGCCAGTGAGGGGCTGGGGGAAGGCAGGGACAACAGGCAAAGCCCCGGCTGGTGCAGCTCCTCCTGTCCCAGCCCTAAAATATCGTCTGCTGAATGGGAGCACTCTTCAGACAAGAGGCATTTCTGCTAGGAGTATAGGACCTGATTAGAACCCGCCTGGGGCTAAAACCCATGAGATTGATTGCTTTCTGTTTGTTATTTCTCAAAATGTGAAGCAATACCTGGCTGAGAATAGATGGTTTTGCCAAAGTGTGTTTGATATCTTACTTGGTTCTGCTCAGAAGTGGCAAACTTTATTAATACAAACATATTTTGTCACTTTTTTTTCTAGAAATGTCTATCTTGGCCTCATTGCAGGACTACGGGCAGGATGCTGTCTCCTATACATAGTGCTCTCTGTTTTAATAATGAAACGCTTCAAACCAGATGGCAAAGAGATGACAAATATTAAAAATACAGAAAGATCAACCAGCAAAGAACCAGCTACTGCCAACAAAAAAGAAATTCTTCCTGGTGCAAGAACCTCAGAGGAGAGTGAGGAAACTTGTATGTAAAGAAAAGAAACAAGGCCTTCTCCTAACTCTGCCTATGCTTCTGTTTTTCTAAGCACAACAGGGGTCTAATTACTGACTTCAACAGCTAGTTTACATTTTGGGGGTTCAAAAAAATATCTTTGAAACATTGACTTTTAATTTGCTTTACCCTATCCTCTTTCTCTCCTCATCTGAAACAATAGGGGGAAAAGGTTTTCAAAATTTTGGGGAACTCTCCCATCCTCTTGCTCTCAGTTCCTTTCTAGACTGACAGTAAGACTAGCCAAAATTTTTCAAGTGACTTACATTTGATTGTGATTAAAAAATTAAAAAGAAGAAATCCACAATAAGCTTCTTTCCCGTTTTACACCAACTTTATTTCAAGTCTTCTTGCTCTGTATTTAGTCCTACAGTGCTAAATGGCTAACTGAGTTACCTTTATTTATTTCAAGTCTTCTTGCTCTGTATTTAGTCCTACAGCGCTAAATGGCTGAGTTACAGTTGCCCAGTTGCTCTGACGGCCTTTGCTGCGTGGTTCGTGACCAGAGGTCTTTGTTCAAGACTGGGTCCCACAGCCCATGCTCAGGTGAGAGCCCCAGGGCCGTCAGTGAGCACTCTCTGAACAAGAACTGCATAACAACTCTGGGGTTTGGCTTGAGCACAATAAAAAAATCAGAATGGATTGTAAACAAAAGAAAGTGGTGTATTAATTTTGCAGCATATCTCAGTATTGGGTTTGACTAATTGGGTTGACTCTGAACTGATGCGATAAAGTGATAGGTGTTTAAGTTTCTTTCTTTTTTTTTTGGTGTGCGTGCATGGGCATTTTTATCCTAATGACCACTGCATTTACACCACATGTACACAGATTTCCTTCCTTATTTAAGGAACCTCCAGTAAGCCTTGAAATACAGTACTGAAAACTTGCAAATTTACAGCTTTCCACAGACAGCCTAGTCCAGAGAGAAACTGTAATAAAGGATGTTTCCAACAGTCCTTACTGAGACAAAAAGTCTCTAAAAATACTTGAAGTGTGATATTTCATTGGCAGCCCTCATGATGTACCTTCGCAATGGGAGCAAACATGCCTCGTAAGATCACTTCAGGTTTTGCCTCCATCATCACAACCGTTTTGCTTTCTTTTCTGAAGGATGTCTCTGCTCCCTGTGGTCCTGTGCACAAGCCTAAAACTAGGAAATAAGCTTTCTTTCCTAATCTTAAACTTCCTCAGGACATGGAAGAGATCACTGCACTAATATAAAGAAAATCTACCACCTTTTATCTGAGAAAGCAGCAGAGCAGAGGGCTAAAGAGAAGGACTCTCCATATTAAATGATCTTCTGACCTTTCTTCTACCATCTGCCCCGTGTAAATGCAAGAACAGGAATGGGGAAAGGGTTGATGTGGTACTCACTGAAAGCAAGTTCTTCATATCCTGGCCTTGGGGATGGAGTTGTTTGCATTTTATTGCTTAAAGACAATGACCAGCACATTTAGACATTGTCTTTTACAATCACAGCTCTGATTATGAACTCCCAGCAGATATGGGGAAGCAGTGTGTGTTATAAGGGAACAGGAATGAAAGCTTCTCTAGTACAGATGATATCAATATTGCATCTAGGTCTGGAAATAATTAAAGAAAAATTGAAGTTCCAGAAACCCCAGGAATTTTACACAGTGAAAATCACGGTGTGTTTTTCTTCTGCAAACAGTGTTTTAACATTGAATAAATATATTGGCAGTTCTAGAAACACTCCTGATCTGCACTAGACATATAGACTCAGGTGACTTATACTAACATCATTTCCCTTTTACTTCTGGTGTTTGGGTATTTATTTCTGTATATTTTTATATTACAGTTTTTTTGAGGAGAGTATCTTTTGCACCTATTGCTTGATTTTCCCGGGAGGTAATGTTTTATTAAAGATGCGTTGATAATTGATGTCAGACTAGAAATGAGATTCTGGTCAGATGTGATGATTCATGTCCAGATATTTACCTCAGATGCAACTTGGTAAAGTGAGCTTTTTCAAACAAATAAGACTTAACATCATTCTTCATAACAGTCCCAAATCAATAATAGCATAAGTGCTGCCACAGGTGGTATTAAATGAGCCTCTGGCTCAGTATACTCCCAACTCCAAGGCTATATAATTTGCCTATGTTTTCAACATGCACTGTTTTTTGTGTGCAAGTCTAAGCGCTCTCCTGTAAACAGCAGGTAGAAGTTTCTTTGAGGGAATAATTTGTTCTTCAACATGCAACTAGCACAGAATATACAAAAAATGATATAGGTGGTCAACTGAGTGGCATTTTCCAAAAGTTTTTTATCCCCTTGCCTCTCACAATAGAGAAGAAATAAGGACATTCTCCCTTTTAATTCCTCCTGCTCCAAAGGCAAGGTTTCACCAAACAGAGAGGCAGAGGCATCCTTGGGACTCTGGTTTGATTGCAAAGCCGCGTTACTGATTCTAGGATCTCTTTGTCCTGTGTGATAGCTGTGTCAGCATGCTCAGAGCTAGCTCTGACACCTCTGAGCTCCATCACTGGGAAGATCCTCCAGGAAGGAGGATACCTGTTGTATTCTAAGGTGGTAAGAGAAATTGTTGATCAGGAAAGCTGTTTTGGAGGCAAATTGTGTCAGTCATGCTTTTGAATAAAGAAGACAAACCAGGGCGTTTAGGGATCATTACAGACAACTTTGTGGGCCGTAAATCATGGTAATTCCACTGAAACCAATGAAGAAATAGCCAAACCAGTGAATTTTTATCAGACTGTGGGAGGTTTAAGGGCATGAGCCTTGTGTTTACCCAACTCTTGTTTGAGGCTATCAAAAAGCCCTTTAATGGCATTATCAAAGTCCTTCTGTCAGAATAACTATGGAAGACAGAGCCTTACCCCAGAAGACAGTGCAGTTATTTGGCATTTCTTTACTTTTAGATATATAATCAAGCAGACATAATGACCTATGACTACCTGTTTTTATGATATTTTCTAGTTGTTTATCAAAGAGAAAAAAAAACCAGCAGCCCTAAATCCACAGTTTTCTGTACGCATTAGGATCATGTACCCTACAAAGACCAAGCCCTCCTATGGGGTTTGTGTCCCCACTATCAACAAGTCCTGTCTATCCTGGCACAAAAATAAATTGGGAATAGAGTACTAGCTGTTGCAGAATAAACAGAAAATACTTCAGGCTGTCAAATTAAATTTAAAGCATTTCAAAAATTTAACAATATAGCAGAAAGGTAACATTAGATTTAGCCTACCAATTTTTTGCTGTGGAATATATTGTCATTTTGCCTTCCTCTGGTTTGGAATGTGGTCAAAGTTGTTTCTAGCTGAAACTGTTAATATAAGTCTGAATCACATTTTATTTTCTCCAGTGTTACTTATATATCTTACTTTCTAATTAATCTGTATTTTTATTCTAAGCTACTAAAGCACAACTTAATCACAGTTCAAGTCAGCCAAGAAGAAAAACCAAAAAAATCCTGCTACAAGTGCACCTGAATTTTGAGGCCGAGCAGGTTCCTTCATGAGCCCCCTCTGCACTAATATTAAAGTCGTCTGTAAGGGCAGAGACTGCTTTTTAGAGAAGGTAAATGATTTGTTTGTATATGGCCATGGATGTGGAGGGTGGAGAGTGATCATGGGAAACACGCAAGCATGCTGTAAGTGTCCTAAGGTGTTTGTCCATCTCTTTGGCCAGATCTGCATTATGGACAGGGTGGACTCTTGAGCTCGAACCCTGCCCAATGCACCAGCAGCGCCCTGCAGGAGATGGCAGCCCTTAGCTTAGGTCTGAAAACCCTGTGTTGCAGTCTCAGGCTAAGAAAGTCAGGACAGAGTTTCTCCCTCGTGCAGTCAGGACTCTTTTAAGTATCAAACAAAACCTGGGCATGGCATCCATGGCACAACCAAATGCAGCACAGTGGAGTTACCATGTGGGTTTGGACAGGCTGCGTGTTGCATGTGTGGTAAATTTGGTCTCCTCTGAGACCAACCATGGTGTCACTGCACTTATGGTCCCAGTTTAGTTCCTGGGACTTGTCCCTCCTCCATGGGATGAGCTGCTTGAGGCAGGGGTTGACTTCCACTGGTGTAGATGGAACAAAGGAGCCACGAAAGCCCAAGAGGTTGAAGCTGATGGTTAAGCAAGAGCTTCCTACACAGCTGCCCACCCATGCCCCGTGCTGGGAGAGCTCCTGCTTGGTCCACCCATTGGATGCAGACTGCTTTTTGGGTGTCTCTGGTACATAGCCTAGTGGTTGTGGTGTGGGACTGGAAGCAGAAAGCCTGGGATTGTTTTCCAATGGGACTGAAGCACTGTTTTTTTCCTTAGGTCTTCTAAAGGTGCTGTAAAGTGATTATCACATTTAGTGAAAAAAAAAGTAGTAAGTCCTGAGTGATCAAGACTACCAGGAAGCAACAAGCCAGCAGATTTCAGTAGATGAGTGGAATAAACTTAAAAGAGAGGCTATACAGAAATTGTTATAAGGGAAATACAGGTGGAGACAAAGTATTCTTATGGAATCATCGAGATTTGGTCAGAATAAGACTTACGTGATGCAGGGAAAAAATCTGAGAAGTATTTCTAAAATTATTATAACAGATCTGCATCTTAAACCAGAGATATTCTGAGTCAGTGACTGTCATACCTAAATAATTCATCTCCTCAGCCGTGTTACACTCTAAGGCATTTATATAAAAATGTAGCATTTTCTTCTCCTCTAAAATCACCACGTAAGAAATCATCAGAAGAGTTTCATGTTTCTCAGTAGGACATATTGCTGTATAAATGAATAAGTGCTCTTCCCGTTATCTGCAAAAATAGTAAATGACTTATTCTCATTTGAACGTATATTTATTTTATTACGATCTCATTGATGGGACACTGATGCTATGTATTAGCTCATATCTCTAAAATTAGTATTGTACTAGATCTCAGGCTTGGATTTCTTATACATCTACTGAGTTCTGCCACTCCCATAGCTCAGATGGCATTTTCACAGGAGAGG